AAAAATAAATAGGTAAACCAGATAAACACTACATTTGTAATCATAATAATTAATTTAAGACTAAAAATAATTTCTATAAATTTATATTTAATTAATAATTATATGATGTAACATTACATATATCGTCTTGTAGTTATGTGATAATAATTTGTAAGATTCATATTTATCTCTATCATATTTTCTGTATCTTTTGTAGATTTTATCTTATAAATCTTACATACTTGTATAGTTAAAAAGAAATGTGAATCTAAATAAATCACACATTTTTAATATGAAGAAATAGTACATATTAAAATCTAGAAATTTTGTAGTTGTTGGTAGTTATACAAAAAAAAATGGTAAACTTCTGTGCAAAAAAAATATTAATTGGAATTCTATTTCCCAAAATGCTCACATATATCCACTCAAATAAGAAAATGTATAAAATTCAAGATTTAGTCATTTAGCAAAAAATTGTAAACTATACATTTTACTCATCTTTAAGGTTTATCGCTTTGAAAAATTATTAGTAACTATTTAAAAATATTAAACTCACACGTACAAGTTGTATTCGTCTAAAACCCTAAACACTACATCCTTAAATACGCGTATCAACTTAAAAGAGTTTTTCATTATTCTTATGAACAGAATAAAGAAACACATTTTCTTAGCTTAGAATCTAGGCTCTCTTTAGTGTTTAGTTATTAATAAAACTTACATAATATTTCAGTGTTGGCTATGACATTGATCAGATTTGTGCTTAACACTAAGAAAGATATCACCGGATATGTTGATATCAACGTTGTTATTACGTGGTTACAAACAACGTAGAAAGAAAAACTACATACAGGTAAATCAAATTATTAGTGTATTAACGAATAATCATATAATTATAAATAGTGCATATACCATAACAATGTTCAATTCTTAAAGTTCTATATCACAGGGTTACTTTTCAGGCGCTATAATTATGCCAGTTAAACTTGCCAAAGGTTGTAAATAATTAGATTCCTCTGTCAAAGTTATTTCAAGCAGAAATCCTTACAGATTGATTTGCTTTATTCTGCATTGAAAAGTAATATTCTATCGGTTGATAGACCATTGCATGTTACACTAGGAAATTGTAAAAACAAACGAATATTAAAATATTATTACCCAAAAATTATATAACTATTCTAACGTAGATTTATTTATTAATTTGTAATTATCAGATTTTGGACTAATGAAAAGAAAACAATTATGGGTTGTGGTTTCAAGTATGATTTACCAAGTTCTTCTATTACGAAGATCCGAAATATTTAAAATTAATAAGCCTGTATCATCTGAATTTAATTAATCAATCTTCTTCTAATTTTCCAGGTTTTCATTTTTTTATACTATAATATAATGTTCAATATTTATTATTATGATTTATAGACATTGTTTCTTATTAGTTCCAAATTATTATATTTGTCTGGAACATTGTATTTAGACAAGTGAGTCTTGAATTCTTATAGTGATACACTCTCTCGTTAAGGAATATGAACTCCCAATGCATCAAACCTCTTTCTCTCATTTGCTCACTTTGCTTGAGGACAAGCAAATGACAAATGTCGGAGAGTTGATATGTTCATAATTTGTATCATTTAGGTTGTATATTTTATTTCAAATCATGTCTTATTTCATGCATTTTAGGTCTTTAGTTGCTGTTTTAGCACTTAGGGGTTTGCATTAGGTCTAAATGAGTCTTGCATGTTGTGAAGTGTTTACAGGTGATTTGGAAGCAGTTTGAACTTCAAAAGATGAAGCCAGGAGGAGAAATGGTGAATGGGGGTTTAAAAATGGTAAAATCAGCATTTTGGAGATTCTCGGCGCTAGCCTGTACCGCGGGAAGCTTTTTCTCGGCTATTTTCATGTATCGCCGGTGGATTTCTCGGCCAAAACGCGTACCGGCTGTTCAAGTTTCTCGGTCAAAATTCCCAGGTGCAGATACATCTCCGAGATCGTGTTACCGGAAGGTCTTGCCTGCCGATTCAGTCTCCGGGGTCTTCAGAAAAAATCAAGATAATGGATTCTAGATCTCAGAACAGTTGGAATCGATGAGTTTAGAGCACCGAGTCGAAAGATACGGCCACCAGAAGACAGATCTATCTCGCATCCATTCCAGAGCAATCCCATACGTCAGGAAAGATCGTCTGTCTGGGGAGTCTTAACGTCCGATTCAGATTACAGGGTCTTCATCAAATTTGGAGATTATCAGGTCACGGATCTAGAACAGGTGGAATCATTTGATTTAGAGTAGTGAGCAGAGAGTTAAGCTCACCGGAAGGCGCACATGTCTCGCTACAGTTTCAAGACCGATCCGATCAATCACAAAGATTGCGTGGGACGATGCCTTTCCAGTCTGATTCAGTTTCCGAAGTCTTCATAAAGATTTGCGATATTTGAGTTCTAATTCCAGAACATCTGAGAGCATCCTGTTTGGAGCTATGTACTGAAAGATACCGTCTACGGAGTGAACACTGGTCCAAAAGCATCCTTTTAATCGTTTCAATGCACTTCAGATATGAGATGTGCAGGGAACCTCCCACTTCCCAAGCGCTGAAGGTTTCTTCACCAAAGTTTGAGATGTTTGAGTGTCCTTTCCACTTTCGCTGGAATCAAGCCATTTAGGTACATATCCTGAAAGTTACGCTCCCCCGAATCCGAAGTGGTCCTAGGAGATTTGAAGTTTGCGAGATGGTTTTGCGACTTGGATAACTCGCAGCACTTAAAGGATAATTTCTGGGAATTTAGCTGCGTGTTTAGATGTGAGGGTAAGGTAACCCTGGATGAAGCCAAAGGTTCCCGAGCAAGAAAAATGCTAAGGCCATTTATAACAACGACTTCTCCTTATTATTAATATTATTTACTTTTATATTATCTCGTGCATTAGGTTTAGCTTACTATATTTGATAGAATATTTTTTTTTTTTTTTTTTGCTGTTTTTTCTATTCCATAACTATTTTTCTAATAATACCGGAAAAAACTTTAATACTATAAAGTATATGATTATTGCTTCTCGGTCATGTGCGAGTTTGAACATTCGATACAATTGTATATGGTTATCGCTGCTCAGTCACGTGCGAGTTTTAAATCAGTTTGACAAATCGTTTCTTAAATATATATTTAAGTTCACATTTGAACCAACTGTCATTTAATTTTGTTAGTTTTGACGAATCGTTGCTTAAGTATATAAAACCCGCCTTTAAAAGCATAACCGTCGTTTCTAAAGTATATTAAACCCGCGTTTTAAAACATAACCGTTTATTGACTCCGTCTTATAAAAAAAAACATTCATTTTTCTCATCTTTCATCTCCAAACTAAATAAAAATAACGAATGTCTCCATGTAATAGAGTTTCTGAACTTCAGAAGACAAACAGCGGGCAACGTATTTGTGTCCAAGTAGTTAGAAATTATTATGATTTTACTCTCATTGGTTGCCCTAATCGGATGTTAGTTCTCGCTAATGAATTTGTAAGTTTATGAGATTTTAAAAGATTATCCCTGTTCATGTTTTGGGAATGTAATCATTTATTGATTCTTTTTTACTAAAACTGTGTAGGACAATCGCATCCTGTGTACCATGCCATTTGAAATACTTGACAAATTCGAGTATGTATTGCTCGAAGGAGAGTGGTATTTTCTTGGTAATTTTGCAGTTACCGACAGATTACCCCATCCAAGTATATCATCAAACAACTGTCATATACGTTTCAACAAGGATACAATCACTGAGAAAACCGATCCGAAGTCTTCCAGAGAAATATACTCTTTCTGTGCATTCATAGATATTTTGCTTGCGTCGATTTAAACAGACCGATATCTTGGTAAGTTTCTTACATGCATGTTATTATCTTGGTTTATCTCATTAACTGAGAAATGAATTTTTTCTAACTTAGTTGTTTAATTTTGCAGTTGATCTTCTCGGGATTGTCACTTTTGTTCAGAAACTTCAAAGAGGAGTTCATATGTCCGATACATCGAATACACCCAGAGAACGTCCACTTATTCGTTTTGTACTCGAAGATCTCGGGTCAGTAAAACTTATCTCAGAATATCTGGTGTCAGACTTAGGTTTCTTGATATATTAAAATATGTTAATTATCTTCTATGTTGGTGTAAATATATACAGTGGAAATTCCTTGAAATGTATTGCTTGGGATAACTTGGCAATAAAATTTGAAGAACTTTGGACGAATCGTGATAGGTCTTCAAGGCATATTATTGTATTGCGATTTTTCTCTTTCAATAGGTGGATAGGTACGTAAATATTAACTATTAATATCTATTCAATACAGCAATTAATCAGAAGTTTAACAAATTTATTGTTTCCACATGCGTACTGAATATGTATATGTAATTAGATGAGTGGATAGTTGAATCGGAAAGATTCATATCTGATATTCTCGAGGATTCTCCTACTCCAGAAGTGGCAATAGCAAAGATGATGTATGTAAATTCCATCTTTGATGTTATATCCTGTATATGTATTCTATTGACATCTATTTTATGATTTTATAATATTGTCATATTGTTCCAGGCTTGAAACTTCAGTTGATTTTACCTCTTTGGATGATGGATATGAAGATCAGTTTCTATAGGAGATATTAATTTTTATTTCGTTTTTTATAGGTTGTGTACTTGAACAACATAGCTATTTTTTATTTTTATTGTTAACCGTTATGTACATATAAACATAAAATTTGGGGTGTACATCCGATTATTTTATCAAATATAAATACCTCTCTTACGAGTAATACGCGAAACATAACTAAAAATTATTCGCGAAAAGACGCAACTTTACATAAATCTAAATACGTATATTATGAAAAGTTTCCAATGGAAATAACTCATCAAAATAATCCAGTGAATCTTACTTCTTCCTTAACTCATTCTTAACTTTATATATATTCATTCTCTTGCCGAGGAAAAAAATAGTCATCCTTCGAAAATACCTAACAGAGAAATAAAAAATTAACCAAGTGCTTCTCTTTCATAATGGAAACCTATGATCTGGTTCATGATTTGCATGCATGGAGGGATGACTGGAAAATCGGCGTTAAGGTACTCAAGCGATGGTATAAGGCTGACGAATATGGGAAACCAGGCTTGGCGTTCGTTCTCGTGGATGAATATGTAAGTTCGCCTAAATATATACATTTTATTGTTGTTTTCCATATGATATATTTACTTAGTCATCTCTTTCGCTTATAATTCAGGGCTCTAGAATCTACGCTTCATGTGGAAATATGAGTTATTCCTATTTCGATATGGTATGTCCTGAAGGCCAATGGGTAAAGTTGTCCAAATTCCGCTTGATTCCGGCAGATTGGGAAAGGAAAGAAAGAAACACCAGACACAGCTCTCAGATGATACTGAATACGGAGACCAAGGTTTCGTCAATCAGGCCATTGACAGAAGATCCCTTCGAGAAATTCGTCGATTTTGATGAGATAAATCAACGCCCCTATTCTCATTTATATCCAATCGGTATGATTTTCAATTGCATCCTGTAAAAATTGGAACTCGAGTAATGTTTTTAGAAATATTATAGTAGTTTGAATATTATTTTAATGAAATCAAGGTGTAACCAACAATTAACTTTATTATACAGATCTTATTGGTGTATTGGTAAATGTTGGTGAAATCTTATCATCTGAATCTACGGAAGGAATTTTTGAAAAATCTCTAAAGTTCACCATCAAAGATCTTGAGTAAGATAATTGAATTTCACTCGCATAAATTATAGTCCGCTATGAAAAAAATAATTGTTAAATCTAATTTTGACATAGGGATCGTACACTCGACTGCTTGGCTCACGGGGATTTTGCTGTTGACATCAAAAACCAAACAACAGGAGTGGATGGCCCTTTTGCTATTTGTGTTTTGACAGATTGGATGATCTACAAAGACCAAGGTATGTGATTTCAAAAATGTAATTAGATTTTTAAGTCACGTAACTAAATCTAATAAGTAAACTTTGGGTGAATTATGTTGTAATCCCTTCTTCTCATTTTATATTTAGATGAAATTACCATCCATGATCACGAGAATATTGGCCTCTCACGTTTTTTGGTTTCTCCACCGATTGACGATGTTCTCATTTATCGCAGGAAGTACGTATATTAGTTCATTTGTTTACCTAATCTTTTTATCACATTATCAATGTTTAAAAGCAATATATTAATATTTTGTTTGGGATTTGGAAAAGAATCAAAAAGACGATGGCGGATGCTGGGACGGCTGCAACGGGAATGCATAAATCACTGGAAGATTACCTTTTTGTATTTCTTATATTAAGTTCTGAATTTAAAGGAGTGATGTCCACTTTTTTCGTTTTATTATGTACCAAATTCTGGCTTTGCAGTATAATGATCATGGTGTTTTTAACTATATTCATTACTGTTAATTCTTATAAATTCTTCTGTAAAACATCTATTTAGATGGTCTAGACAATAGGTTTAACCAGATAATCGTCACATCCGTAATCATAATAATTAAATAATGTTATATTTTGGATATATAAAAAGAGATTAAATCTAACAAATAATTTTAGTAACTAATAATTATCAAATAAATAAATTATGGATAAATATAAATTTAATTCTTAAAACGTCATTTATCGCATTATAGTTATGTGCCAATGATTCCTGTAAAACTCGGTATTTATCTCTAATAAATTATCTCTTAAATTAGTTGTACTGTCAAAAATGGCCGTATAAATTGACAAAATTTGCATTTTAATAATAGTCATTTTACTTCATCGATTTTGTAGTTCTTGGTAGTTATTCATAAATAAAGAAAACATCCGTCAAAAAATTGTATTGATTTAGAACACTTCTTCTTAATCGCTGATATGTATCTACTCAAATAAGAAAATATACATAACTGAAAATTAAATAATTTAACATAAAATCGTGATCTATAAATTGCAGTCATTTTAGAATTTATCTCTTATAGGAATTATTAGTTACTAATAAAAAGGAAAAAATATGTGCACAATAGTTATAATCGTTTAAAACCCTAAAAACCACGGCTTTATATACGATCTTAAACTTACGATAGTTCTCTCACCCTTCCAGGCAAAAAATAAAATAAAAAAAGAAACCATTCTATTAGCTTATAACTCGATTTCTCATTAGGGTTAAATCACAATGGGTTCACATAACGTGAAGATCTCATATGATATCTTGCTTGATTCATCCTCTAATGCTGATAACAATGGTAACTTAATGGTTTTCGTTTTTTTAAAATTTTTTTTTTTAATATAAAAAATTGAAGTTTATGATTTAATGTGAAAATTTATCTTATTTTTTAAGCCATCAAAAAAAATGTCGTGATTCTTTTGTTATACTAAATTCTTGCAAGGAGACATGTTTGTTTTTGCTTATGATGTTTGGAATGAAAATACAAATTTTATTTCTTTTCTTTTAGTTCTTCATAATACTGTTGGCCGAACACCATCACTTGAAACGGCATTCGAGAGGTTACGCCTCTATCAATCATATGATCGTCTCCCTTAACATCCATCAAGATTTCATAATCTTCCACATATTTTCGGTACGAGTATTATATTAAAAAAAAGCATGTTAAACATAGTCATCTACCCATCTGAAAATTAAATGAAAAATAGACAACTATTAATAGACAAATAATTACATAGAGATCTGTTCCTGAATTGTTCCCTAGACCTTACAAATAATTACATAGAGATCTGTTCCTGAATTGTTCCCTAGACCCTACATATATCAAGTTAAGAACTAGTTATATGCAAACAAGTTGACTATACTTAGCTGTCTAATAAGTAGACAATTATTTTATAACAATATACCCCTTCGTTTAGGAGTGCGTTTACAAAAGAAGTTGACTATATAATACAAGCTATTATACTGTAATTCAGTAATAGTAGTAGCCGACTATTTATTTTCAACATAACAACTAATTGTGACTGGGAAGTTTCCTAGATCTGGATTTGGATTTTTGTCGGAGTTTATTCCCTTTAATAAACAAACTAAACAATTTTAGAACGATTCATTATGGTGAAGAGGTATGAGATTTTAGTGACAGCTTATAAAACTATATAAAAGACTAATACAATATGGGTCTTCTACGGAAATCGAATGTAAGAGGATTGAAGATTTCAAATGAAAACAAACATCAGATCTACTACATAACTAGAAAATGTGAAAGAATTAGTAGATGTAAGACCTGCGTTCAGACACCAAAGGAGAAGATGCGACGACGTTGAGGATTGGAGATTAGCTGCTCGACGAAGAAGATAGTAACGATTCAGCTTCAACTGATACCAGAGATGGAGGATGAATCTCCTGCGAAATGGATTCAGAATTAAAATGGTTGGGAGGATACATGTCGGGAAAGGGAACCACGACTCTTTAGACAGGAGAAGAGAAAAGGAGGATTTGAAATTGAAGAACAGGATTTTAAATTTTGAAAACCTGAACATGAAAGAAAAACATAAATTATTACTTTTAAAAATAAAATGAGGCAACAAAAAGATAAAAGATATAATGTGTGAGACCAGAAAAGTTTAGGTTGCTATGATACAATTTTAATGTCGTAAGGTTGGAAAGTTGGGGGTGTGTAGTGTCTTTGCACAAAGGTAGAAAAGCTGCTTTTTATTCTTGCAAATTGTTCTCTGCAGATTATTATTCATTATATTTTCCCTAAAATATATATAAAAGATTAAAGTAATTATGTATTAAATTTCCATTAACAAAAAAAAACTAAAACAATAATAAATTAAGAACATTTCTTAAACAAAATACAAATTTACTTAGATATAAAATAAAATGCAATCAATTAAGAAAAGAAAAAAAAATAAAATTGTTTTTCATTTTTGAAATAAAAATGATATAAAAAGAATGAAATTGAAGATGATGAAAAATATTATTTTCTTTTATTAGAGAAAAAATACTAATTTTTTGGTGTCAATACTATTTCTATTAAATAGTAATTAATTATTTTGTTATTGTTTTTAGTTATCTTTTTAGTATACTAACCTACAAGCATTAGAAGAATTTAAAAATATTTATACAAGTTAAAATTATAAAACAAATAAAAATAATATTTACTATAATATAAAAAATAACACATATATTAATATGTGGAGATAATTGGTGGTTTAAACATAATTTAAAGGTGACAATAAGTTTGTGAAATCTATTTTAATAATTAAGGGGTAATTAAATGCTATCAAATATAATTTGTACTCATTAAAACAATAAAATAAGGAGATATTTTTTGCCTTTTTTGGTTGAAATAAAAAATCATTTATAAGTGATCACACACAATATGTTACTCGACAAAAGGTTTGGTATTTACCAATTTAAGATAAAATTGACTAAAATTTATATAGAATTCATTGATCGTTGTGATTTGAAATTAGTTTTAAATTTTATTTTATTTATTTACTGAAAATATATGAAAGCAAAAATTATGTTTATTAGTTTATTTTTTAATTTAAAATAAATCAGAAATTGTATCGACTAAAGTAGCTAAGGAAAGAGAATCATTTTTAATTAATCATTTTTCATAAAAAGCATACATAACACGGATGCAACTGATAAAAAAATTATTTTCTTGACTAATAAGTGATGTATAGTACTTTATCTTCGTGTTAATACTAACTAAGTACTATTTAATTATTTTGTTATATTTTGTGTTGATTTTGGTATACAAATGTTAAACATTCAACAAAATTATATGTTTTTTAAACGACACATATATAAATACAAACAAGATCGTTGAAACCTCAAAATTTATATAAATATGATTTTTATCAATATGATAGCATTAAAAAACTATTCACGCATAGTGTGGGTGCAAAATCTAGTAAATACAAAAATTCATGAATTACACATCACAGTTAAACAAAAAAAAGCACACAACACAAATGTGGAGATTATTAACTTTATTACTAATAATAAACCAAACACAAATAGAAAAACAAAGTGAGACATTGATATACTCTATATTTCTCTGTTTTTAATAAGGATTTTGGTATTATATCTAAGTATTTTTATTAGGTTTTGTTCTTTTTAAGGTAGTTTTCTTGTACTTGTAGTTTTCAAGTCTTAATAGGTTAAATCATCAAAAATGATGCTAAAAAGAGCCAAAAAGGAGTAGTCCACATCCAAAACATCTTTCCAAGTCCAGAAGATCAGTCAAGTATCAAGAAGCCATGAAAGTGGACTTTCCCAAGGGATCTCAATTCAGCATCAGAAGTTTTATGATGGACAGATACATTCTCGGTGATGGATTGCGAAGAAATTTGGTATAGAGTTAAGAGTTTGAGTCATCTTTCATATAGAACCGGTTTGAAGTCAATTGGACGTTTAGGCGTTTTTAAAGAGAGAAGAAGAGAGGCGAAATACTTTACACAAATTTTACTTAAAGCTTTGTTTCTTTTTCAATTTTGGTTTCTGTTCTACTTTTTAATACTATGTTTTTGATCGTTTATCATGTCTGAGTAGTTTTATTGTTCGGTCTAAGGGATTTTCGATGGGGATACATTTGTTCGATGAGGATTCCATGAGCTATTGAGTCGAATCTTAGAACTTTTTCTTTTGAATTCATTTTTACTGCATGAGAGTAGCGTCATGAACTACAATCTGATCCAGATGCTTGGTGACACGAAAGTGATCATCCGGTGTCAGATCTAGTTTGGGAGAGCAAAACAAACATAGGAGTGGAAACCTACCTATGGGCGATTTGTGAATGCTGACGAGTCTTAAACATAATGCATCTCTTCTTTTCCAAGGCCAAAGTGGAAACCTACTGGTCAGGGTTGAGAGAGATAGTTGTCTATGATCACGACAGTGGCGTATTCATACGTCCGTGACTCTAGTTCGAAAAGTTTAAGTTAAGATCTTATCAAATTTACTCTCTAGCAATGTTTTGAATCGTTCATACCCCTGAGAAAACTTCCCTGAACCCCAATGCTTTCTTTCTTATAAATTTACACTGATTTTCATTCAAGCTTTAGACTAGTATCTTTACTCTTTCAATTGATTTTCATTTAAGCAATTAGGTTTAGCCGTTTTCTCGTTTTTATCCGTTTTTGTTAAGTTTAGTTATTAGGTCATTTTAATTCCCGTATTCTCTCTTTAAGATTCGTTTTTACGTTTTAAACACACCACCAAAACCCTCACAAAACTCGCCTGGTTCTAGACTTCCTTACTTTATATTTCTTTCGAATGCTTTTGCAGCAAAGATCCTCCTTCCCTGTGGATTCGATCCCTAAGTACTACAATCGATCAGCTGTGCACTTGCGGCTATTGATTTCATTTAGGGTAAAACTTGACAACCCTCACGTAGCAGACATATCATGGGTGCAGGAAGTGTCTTGGGCCTTAGTTGGGCTCCTGAGGTTTGGACATAGGTCCACCGGGGGTGAAACCACCTGAGCCGTGGTGGGAAGAAGGCTGGTCGCGGGTGAAAGCACTTGTGCTTGACTGGGCTTGTGTTGGTCACCCTTCAGTGCATTGATTATATCTTGATATCTAACCGTTGGATTGCTTTGATTCCAAGTGTGCTGGTAAGCTGGTTGTCTCCTCTATCATGTCTCTAAATTTGGGAATGATCAGATGGTGAGAAGATCTTCATTGGTTGCCAAAATTCTGACAGCCTGAATTTATCCAAAAATATACTTTTGCTCCAAAATGCACTCCAAAGTCCCAAGTTTCCTGAAAAGCCTTTTAAAACTCCAAAACATGGAAAACACTTATAAAACCTTTAAAACTGAGTAAAAACACCTGCATAAGATATTGAAAGTGATCCATAAAAGTGGTCAAAATCAGGTGTTATCAGTTTTACTATCTATAAGCCATGCAAAATATCTTTGGTATTAGCAGATAGATCAGTAAGACTTCCAGTTGGTCTTCTTGAGGATTTTCGATTGAGAATTGGGGATTTTTTAGTCCCAACAGATTTCATAATCCTTGAGATGGATGAGTAGCCCAAAGATCAATTGATGTTGGGAAGACCATCTTTAGCTATAGCTGGAGCAATCATTGATGTCAGAACAAGAAAGATTGACCTCCATTTGGGATCAGACGTGTTAAAGTTTGACATGAATGAAGTGATGAAGAAGCCAACTTTAGAAGGTCAAGTGTTCTACATTGAGACTATGAAGGAGTTGGCTGATGAATTACTTGAGGAATTGAACACTGAGGATCATCTGCAAGTTGCTTTGACAAAGAAGCATGTAGAATAGGGGTTCTTGGCAGATGAGAGTGAAGCTTACAAGATGTTTTTGGATCAACACAAGGTTGTAGGAGCTGAGACACCATTCATAGAGCTTAGAAATGGCAAGACAAAGGATCAGAGCAGTCATGATGCCGGTTTGAACGAAGTGACAGTTCAAGAGTGTCTGGCCGTGGGTCTAGAGTAAGAAAATGACGTGGAGGAGATGCACAAGGAGCATGAGCATGGAAACAACACCAAAGAAGCTAGAAATTGTCAGTCTAGCTTTGATAAGGATTGGAGTGAGCTCAAGGCACCAAAGGTGGAGCTTAAGCCACTTCCAAGAGGTCTTAGGTATGATTTATTAGGCCCTAATGCATCATATCCAGTCATCATTAATGATAATCTGCTTGAATATGAAGAACATGCATTGCTTAATGAACTAAGAAACTTTAGGAAAGCAATTGGTTAGTCATTATATGACATCAAGGGCATATCATCTTCACTTGCACTCATAGAATCCACCATGAAAAGAAATCATTGAGCTCTATAGAACATCAGAGGAGGTTAAACCCAAACCTCAAAGATGTTGTAAAGAAGAAGATTCTGACACTCTTGGAGGCAGGGATTATTTATTCAATTTCTGACACCAAATGGGTTTCACCTATGCATGTAGTACCCAAGAAAGGTGGAATGACTGCTATAAAGAATGAAAAAATGAACTGATTCCCACAAGAACTATAACAGGTAATGGATGTGCAAAGATTACAGAAAACTCAATGCTGCATCTAGGAAAGATCATTTCCATTGCCTTTTATTGATCAAATGTTGGAAAGATTAGCAAACCATCAATTTTACTGTTTTCTTGATGGTTATTCTGGATTTTTTCCAAATACCAATTCACTCAAGTGAGTAGGAAAAAACTACATTCACTTGTCCATATGGCACTTTTGCCTATAAGAGGATATCCTTTGGCCTTTGCAATGCACAAGTTACATTCCAAAGGTGTATGATATCTATCTTTTCTGACTTGATTGAGGACATGGTGGAAGTATTCATGGATGACTTTAGAGTCTATAGATCTTCTTTCTCTTCTTGTTTCTCTAGTCTTTGAAGGGTGCTCCACAGATGTGAAGAGACAAATCTTGTTTTGAACTGGAAAAAATTCCACTTCATGGTCACTGAGGGAATTTTTCTATGGCGCAAGATCTTGGAGACTGGAATTGAAGTTGATAAAGAAAAGATTGAGGTCATGGTGAATCTTGGAGCTCCTAATTCAGTGAAGGGAGTAAGAAGCTTCCTTGGGCTTGCTGGGTTCTGTAGGAGGTTATAAAAGATTTCTCAAGGATTGCTAGACCACTTACAAAGGTGATGTGCAAAGAAGTGGAGTTTCTGTTTGATCAAGAGTGTGAGGAGGCATTCAAGGAGATCAAGAAAGCTTTGACTAGTGCTCCTATTGTATAGGCTCCAGATTAGTCATTGCCATTTGAAATAATGACTGATGCAAGTGACTTTCCTGTTGGAGCAGTTCTTGGACTGAAGAAAGAAAAGAAGCTCTATGTGATCTATTATGCCAGCAGACCACTAGATGGACCTCAGGAGAAATATGCTACAACAGAAAAGGAGATGCTAGCCATAGTGTTTTCTTTTGAGAAGTTTAGGTCATATCTGGTGGGTTCTAAAGTCATTGTCTACAGTGATCATGATGCACTAAGGTATCTTATGGCTAAGAAGGATGCAAAGTCGAGATTGCTCAGGTGGATTCTGCTGCTACAAGAGTTTGATATGGAGATCAAAGACAAAAAAAGCATTGAGAATGATGTTGCAGATCATCTCTCACGCCTAAGAATTGAAGATCAAGTTCCCATTAATGACAATTTACCTGAAGGACACTTGATGATTAAGCCTTTGAATGAGTTAGAAGAGCTCAAGAGTCTACAGGATAATGATCTACCCTGGTATGCTCACATTGTGAACTACCTTTCTTGTGGAATTGAGCCTCGAGAGCTAGGGAACTACCAGAAGAAAAAGTTTTACAAGGACATCAAAATATTTTTCTGGGATGAACCATACCTCTATATACTCTGCAAGGATCAGCTTTTCAGGAGATGCATTCTTCAGGAAGAAGTTCAAGGAATATTGTTTGAATGCCATAGATCTGCATATGGTGGACATAATGCTGCTTTTAAGACTGTTGCCAAGATACTCCATGGTGGGTTTTGGTGGTCAACCATATTTAGAGATGCTCAAGGGTTTGTCTCCAAATGTGATGAGTGCCAGAGAACAGGAAACATCTCAAGGAGGAATAAGATGCCTTAGAACCCAATACTTGAAGTAGAAGCGTTTGATGTATGGGGAATTGACTTCAGGGAGGAATTATATGTCTATAGGACTGCATTTAAAACTCCAATAGGCACCACACCTTTCAACTTGTTGTATGGTAAAGCTTGCCTTCTACCTGTGGAACTTGACTACAAAGCTCTCTGGGCTGTGAAACTGCTAAAATTTAATCTTAAAAATTCTCAAGAAAAGAGGCTGTTCCAGCTTCAAGAACTTGATGAAATCATGTTAGATGCCTATGAGAGTTCAAGAATTTACAAAGAAAAGACAAAGAGCTTCCATGACAAGATAATTCTGAAGAGGGATTTCAAGGCTAAAGCTGTTTCCTGAAAGCTTAAGTCTAGATGGTCTGGACCATTTAAGTTCTTAGAAGTGAGGTCTTATGGAGCTAAAGTTTTTGAAGGAAGGAAGGGGAAAGTATTTTTTGTGAATGGTCAAAGGCTTAAGCCTTGTCTGGCAAATGAATCCAAGGAGGGAGCTACTTCAGTCTCTCCTTGAAGAAAATCTTCAGTCTTTCCTTTTCAACTTCTTCAGTCTCTCTTGCCAACCCTATCTCATCCTAAATGAGTAACCAAAGTCAAACTTAGTGATTTTAAACAAAGTGCATTGGAAAGAAAATCTCATGACTATCCCTTGTACATACTCTTTTAATGTTTTCTTTTATGTTTCTAGGATTTTTTTAATGTGTTTGCGGAGTGTACTCAGGTCACAGGTGATTTTAATTCTCTCTAGTGATAACATGATTTTCTCTAAATCAATTCCTTAATATGCTCATGTCATTGCAATATTAAAGTATCAATCCAAAGGGATTAAGATTAGCACACCAAAAAAACAAGAAATTACTTAATCTAAGCAAATTAAGGGTTTTTAGATGATCAACTCGTGAAGAAAAGATACAAACAAGCAATTAAACACTTAAACAAGATTAACAATCAATAAAAAACAAAAATACAAAAAGTCAACAAAAGCCAACTGAAAAAGTCAACCAAAAGTCAATGACGAAAATGCAACAATCAATCAATAAAAAGCAAGTCTTTGGGCAAGGCAATTGATTAGGGGATGTTTAATGCTAACCTATGATGTCTACAAACTCACATAAGTGCTAATCCTTAAGTCTAGAACACTAATTTTGATTAATCCTCTCTCAAGGTACTAATTACTTTCTTAATTACCAAATTCAAGAACTAATTCTCATTAGTGAAATTAGCAATCAAATGCATTATAAACAAGTTCCATTAACTAATTAATCACATTAGACATCTACTCTCATAGGCTAATCATGAAAAACTCTTGCTTAGTTCTTTGGGGAATTTCATCAAACACCTTGAGTGTATGAAATTTCCTAAGACCTTGATTAACTATCTCTAGCCTAATCAAGCATTAAGAACCACTCAAAAAAATAAAGGAAACCTATGGATTAAGACCTAGACATCAAATCTTAAACATCAAAATCCCCTAATCTACAATGCCCAAAAACTATAAAGAACTCTATTCACTAATCATAAGAACACTCCTAATCTTGTGGATAAAGAGATGTTAATAATGATTAGAGATTGAGAAATAAAAGATTAGAAGAATAAAAACACCAATTTCATTCAAAATAAAGAGATTTGATACAAAGATTCACGTTTTTTATCTAAAAGAACAAGAGAAAAGATGAGATGTCTAAGAAATTAGGTTTAGGAGTTTATATAGTCTAGGTGACAAACCGGGTTAGCCCAGGACAAACTGGGTCCTCACCTGGCTCCAACAGGTCCTTGAAGCCTTGCCACGCCTCCTCTCCAGCCGTGGCAACAGATTCTTGGTTTAGGGCATGATGAACACACTTTGCCATGCTTTGTTCTCACCTGTGGCATTGAGCTGTGGCATGGTGCGAATGATTCTGAAGGTGTTGGCCATGGCATGAACAAGCCGTAGCATGAATTTGTGGCCTACGCTGAGAGATCTCTTAATTCATTCGTAGG